CGAGGTACTGTCCATCAGGAACATAAGGCTGAGCAATTTGTGTTTATAAAGTTGACCTTTAATCCCTTTAAATTTTTATAACACTTCATTTTTTTCCCTAGTGTCTTTTCTTCAACTGATAATTTGATTCTTAAAACAACACTTGAAGACAAGTACTATCTCCTATATAGATTAGGAGACTGAAGAACAGAGATTAAATGACCTTGAAATGGCATATGGCAATTAAAAACCAAAGCAGAGCGGCAGGGAGGGGGCCGGGACATGGCTGACTAAGACGCCACACAGATGCCTCCGTCTTAAATATTTTACATTTAAGTATTTAATTTAATGTTAAAATATTTTAAATATTTCTTTTTTATTGGCCCAGGCGAGTGTTCAGTCTCTCCAAAATGAATTTATACTAGTAGATGTATTATTTATGGTTTATAAATCAGAATTCCAATTTTTAAGTTAAAAAAAAGAGAGTTGTGCCTTTCTATTGATCAGATTATTCATATCTTCTTTACAAAGTGCTCCCTTCCTAGGTGGAAAACCACATGAAAAATAACAAACTGTCCAGAACAAAGGAAATTCTTCACCCAGGCTATAGGAAAACTTGGAGAATTATTTCAGGTTCCCTTCAGAGGATATCTTTCTAGTGACTACAGAAATACCGCCACAAGTTTTTAACTGGATTCTCCAATTTGGGCCTCTTTCCCCACCAGTAGAGCCTACCCAGCACTGCCTGTTGAAGTACAGCCCTGATCAAGCCACTTTTCTGCTAGAAACTGAGAGGGTGTAGAGAAAAGGAAACCCTCCTTCACTGTTGGTGGGAATGCAATTTAGTGCAGCCATTATGGAAAACAGTATGGAGATTCCTCAAAAAACTAAAAATAGACTTAGCATATCATCCAGTGGTCCCACTCCTAGTCATATACTTGGAGGGAACTCTAATCCGAAAAGATACATGCACCCCAATGTTCATAGCAGCACTATATACAATAGCCAAGACATGGAAGCAAAATAAACATCAATCAACAGATGACTGGATAAAGAAGTTGTGTGGCATTTTTGTACAATGAACTACTACTCAGCAATAAAAAAGAATAAAATAATGCCATTCACAGCAACATGGATGGACCTGGAGATCGTCATTCTAAGTGAAGTAAGCCAAGAAATACCATATGTTATCACTCACATGTGGGATCTACAAAAAAGGAAAAGAAAAGAAAAAAGAGGACACTAATGAACTCATCTACAAAA